ATAATAGTAAACTTATGAGGTGGGCTTTAAACCTGCAAGATTTTGACTTTGAAGTGAAGGTGGTCAGAGGGTCAATGAACTGTGTTGCTGACGCCTTGTCAAGAAGACCCGACGAGTGAAGGCGGCGGAAGAAACCATGGACTATGTATATTTTGGTGACCAAAAGTTAATTGTACCTGTTTATTGATCAGTCTTGGTTTGTATTAATAAAGGTAACTTAAAGTATTGTAAATATGAATGTTTAAATGCCTAATTGATATGTTTAACCTAGAGTGTAAGTATGGGATTGTATGTTATTGTATAACTGCTTTTGTGTGTTTTGATCCTGGTTGTTTTTTTGGAGAAAAGCACTTTAGCTTTTCCCCTGCAAAACAACTTATAAAGAGGGGAGGTGTTACATACAGCACTGATGGTACCTGTCTGTCATGGGTTTGGAGGGAAAGTTCCATCCTATGGGGAGTGGAAGGCGGGACATCAGGGGGAGGAGCTGTACTGTATATATATTTGGAGCCTGTGTGGAGAAGTTAGGAGTTGAGGAGTGGGAGTCTGTGTGTCAGACTGAGTACAACTGTGTGTCAGTTGGTACATACCTGATAGGTTCAGGTTTCTTTATAGGTAGCCAGAACTGATAGGTTCAGGGTCTGTGCTCTACTTTAAAGTGTTCTGTGTGAACCAAACTGTTGTATGTATGATTGAGACTAAGCCACGTTACAGTATCTTATTTACTTGATCATTTTATTTACCCTGTTTGTTATTTAAATAAACCTTGTTCTTTTGTTTGTTAAAAATCCATTCCTGGTCTGTGTGACTCATTATAGGGAATGGTTGGTGGCAGCTTAATTAAAGTGTGGTATACTCCAGTAGGTCTGGGGTTGTCACACTTATGTTCCCTGACATGTTATTTGCAGCCGTAGCAAACCCTGATGAGCGAACAGTGGGGAGAACTCCCAATACTCTATAAGGAGGAGATTATCCCTGTAGGATGTTGGTGAAGAGAGCATTACAGTAAATATGGTTAGGACTTCTGATGACCTCTGTTTCCTAATGCTTATACAGCAGAAGAGAGGCTCCCCTACACCAGCTTGCTGAGAACTAAAAAGCTATCACTTGATCTTCTGCTCAACCTGGATGGAACCCCCCAAAAACGCAGCACCCCAGACAGCAAGGTTTCTCACCAATGACAAACGCTTCTTTGGACTGGGTGCCATGCTCGTTGTACCAGGGCGGCCGTCCGGCGGTGTAGATGGTCCTCTTGCTTGTCCGCAGCAAGGGTGGCTCCGATTTGCACTGGCTGGTGGTCCGTTTCCGTGGCGATCTCGTGGTACCCACAGCGGGCAGCAACCGGTCTAAGGATTCTGTGCCGCTGTTGCTAAAAGGGGAAAGGCAGCGAGTAGTTTCCAGTTAAGGCAGTGAACCTGAACAAGGCAACCCTAACTGCAAGACTACTAGACGTGAAGGGAAAGGACCCGGGTTCGAATCTCTGCTCAACCACAGAACTCCGGAGGTCCCTGCTGCCAATCGCAGTTGTTCAACGTGAAATGTTGCATAAATTGGTGTTGGGACCGAATAAAGGAAGAGGAGCTGAGAAAAGAGATTCTGAAAGCTACAATCCAAACAAAGAAAAATTCTCCAAATTCTGCCCCCCTAAAAGCCATCTCAGACCCTATAAGTTTCCCCAAGCATCAGTGCAGTTCTCCATCCAGAAAAAGAATCTGTCCACCTCTGCTTTAAAACAGCAGAATGCACCCTCTTTAAATAAACAGTTAAGGCCCTGTTAATAACAATTTGAGAGCCAGTCTACTGCAGCAGATAGAGCGTTGGTCTGGGATTCTGGAGACATGGGTTCAAATCTCCACTCAGCCACCAAAACATACAAAGGGAGGTGTCTATGGTGAACTATTCCTTAAACATGTCATATACCTCCAAAACCCTAATTTGGATGTAGCTCGACAGCACATAACAACAAAAAATAACAATTAAGCCTCTGAAATAACAAAAGGCTTAATCCTCTTGAAATAAACAATGGGAAGAGAAATACCAGGGTAGAAGAGAGTGGAAATTGAAGACCTGCTACTTAAATTAATGCTCACTGAAAAGAAAAGAAAACCAAAACACAATGTTATACCAAATCTTACTGAAGTAAACCGCAGATTTCTCAGGTTGGCAAAACAATGTCACTATTGGAGTGAAAGTTATTTTAAAAAACACATTGGGTTGGGAGGCTACAAAAAACGTTTGGGGGAATCCGATTTTGCCCACCCTTCTCAGCGCCTTCAATTACACTCCTCTCCTGATCGAACTGTTGACAGGGCTGTTTTCCCCAATCCTGTTCTCCAGCTTCTCCCTCCCCCACCCCCAAATTAAAACACTTGCCATCAACGAATATTTACTACAAGCATAGTGGAAAGAAGACACATCACAGCAGAGCAGAGGATCCAGGAGAGAAGAAGCAACAGAGTGTTATCTCCTGCTCTTTCTGATAGTCTGAGAAAAGAAATTTTCTTGGTTAGGACTAGAGATGGGCACAAACTGCTGGTTTGTTTTTTTGTTTTTGTCCAAACAAGCATTTGGCGCCTCGCCGTCTTGCCTCCTCTAGCAGGCGCCCACTCCAAGGCAGTGCCCTCACCTCCCTGCCATGCCTCCTCTGGGCGCTTCCTCCGAGCGGGCGCCTGCTAGAGGAGGCAGGCCTGCGAAGCGCCAAACACCTCTTCGGACAAAAAAACGAACCAGCGCAAACCATCGGTTTGTGCCCATCTCTAGTTCGGACTTGGCAATCCATTTCTCTGCCCCGACCCTTGCAGGGCAAACTGGAATCTAGCTGATCACAGATAAGCTAGCGAGGAACGAGAATCTAGGTAGAAACTGGCAGTTCCTTAAGTCTTTCAAAGACATCGGATTATCATTGCATGAGATTTTCTGATCTCCCATAATGTGAAATTGCTTTCTTTTGCGATCAGACGTCAAGAATTAAATGCAGGCTTCCTTTGCGTTTTGCTTCCTCAAACATGGTATTGAGGAGGCAGTCCTGTCGTTGAAAAAAAGGGTGTGCTTTCATTGTTGAATGACACGCCAACTGTAGCGTCTGACTAGGTCCTGAGATTCACTCGGTTTAGTTTCAGTAGAAAGGCTAAAGGCGATGCGAACCAGAAGCTCTGTAGGGACCTTAAAAGTGATACATATCATAAAACACTGGTGTTTGTGTTCATTAAACAATGGAGCATAAAGATGGCATATTGTATGTGAGGAGTTGGTGGAGGAAGAAGACAAATACAGTGGGGTCTTGACTTGAGAACTTAATCCGTATTAGAAGGCGGTTCTCAAGTCAAAAAGTCTGTAAGTCAAGTCTCCATTGACCTACAGTGCATTGAAAACCGATTAATCCCATAACAGGCTGTTTTTGTTCCATTTTGGTTTTTTTTCTGGTCTGTAAGTCAAATCTCAGTCTGCAAGTCAAACCTAAATTTTGCAGCCAGAGAAGTCTGTAACTCAAAAAGTCTGTAAGTCAAGCCGTCTGTAAGTCGAGGGTCCACTGTAGCTGGATCTGAGTGTGCGAGGGCTATATCAGTTCAGTGCTGAGCCCCTGTTTTGCTCCTTCCTTCTAACGAGGCAGAAGCAGCTGGAGTCCAGTTCCATGCCTTTTCAGAAGAAACCTACTATAAGTAGCTAACTTTTGCACCCTCCAGATCTGAGTGGTTTGCCTGGATCAAAGCCAGGTATCCTGCTTACAGCAATGACATACTCTGGCATCTGGCCTTGTGGCACAGTGGTTAAACTGCAGTACTGCTCATGACGACGGTTCAGTCCCAGGTAGCTGTCTCGAGGTTCACTCAGCCTTCCATCCTTCTGATGCAGGTAAATTCAGTACCCAGCTTGCTCGGGGGGGGGGGGGAAGCAATGTGTAGCCTGTATAATTAAAATTTTAAACCCCCCAGAAGGTGCTTTAAGTGCTATGGGGTGGTATATAAGCAGCAATTTTTTCTTTAATTTTTTTTTTTTAACCAACTCAAGCAATTATTTTCTGGACAACTGGCATCACAATGAGCAAACACCGTCTCTCTCAGCCTTCATCACCATCAGCTATGCTGGTTGCGGCTGCTGTGATGCGCAGTCCAATACCACCCAGAGGAAAATGTTTCATCCACTTCTGGCTTACATTCAGATACATGCCTAGCCCAGTGCGCCCCACATGCCTTTCTCTTCTCCCTCTCTTTCCTCCTTCCTTTTTTTGGGCACATATAGAATTTAGACGCTGTAATTTAACACCAGATCCCCCATGTCTATCTTTGATTAAACTGGGCCGCAGCTCTCCGATACGGATAAATCTCCAGTGCTCCGGGGAGGGTCACGCGAGGTTGACTCTTTTATCATTCTGAGTGCAGTTTGAGGAACAAGAGGGGATCAACCACCCCAAAGAGCTTTGTTTTTCATGTCTGGCAACCCGTCAGGATGGCAGAAACTCGCCCCCCCCCTCAATGGCCCGGGGCCAGAAGGATAAGCTGGCCAGAACTGCAGCAGCTCAGCAACAGAGAGCAGGGGACAGGACAGGACAGATTATTTATAGCTGAACTTTCACAGGCTGGACAGCGTTCCTGCCCTCCTTTCCCGTTTTCCATTTCTGCGGCACTGATGCTTTTACAGCAATAGCAACTGTGAACAACAGGGCCCAGAGCAGGATTTTAAAAATGCCGTGTGACGGAGGCGCTGCTCTCCCTCTCTGTTCACAGGTAAGAAAATCCAATTCCCGGCTCAAAGGTTGACCCCGTCAGAAAACCAGAGTCAAAATGGAAGGAGTAACAGGGTGGTGGGTTGGTGAGCGAGGCGACCTTCATGGATATGGCGTAGTTTTAGGGTTACCACCTTTTTTTTCATCGACTGGACCTCGTGTCTTGAACGGCAGCCCATCGCACAGACAAGCAGGCTGCTGTTCAAAAGGTAAGAGGCAGGCGAAGCTTCTCCTGACTTTTTATATTGAGGGCAGGGGATTCATCTCTCCTTGTCAGGAGGAGACAGTGAAAAAAAGGACAGAGCCAGTGACTGGGGAGGTGCAGGTGGGTGTCTTCTCTAGCATGGTTTTAGCCCAGCTGATGCTTCTCTGCAGAGTCAAAAACAGAAAGAGAGACGGAAAGGAGGGCACATCAAAACCTGCACAGATTTAGGTCAAGCCACGTTATTTGGGTTCCACGTTTCTCAAAGCATAGGAAAAAAACCCACAGAAGTTAAGTATGAGCTGCCGAGGTGTTGCAGATTAGGACAACCAAGTCTTATAATGCAGTTCCTAGCCAATGGTCTTTCCCTACAGCTCCTCCAGGAAGTTATTCCTGTACTTTTAAGAGTTGCTTAGAAAAAGAGCTTTTGGCAGCAGCTGCTTTTTCCGCAACCCATGCCTCGGTCTTTCCCTACAGTTCCTCCAGGAAGTGATTCTTGTACTTTTAAGAAAAAGAGCTTTTGACAGCAGCTGCTTTTTCCGCAACCCATGCCTGCAGAGATGTTTTCCTTAATACAACTATTAGAGAAACTGTGCCACCTCGGGCATGACTACAATATATTGTTATTAATAAATCATCTGACTTACTTACGATGACCCTTTTCAGCATTTTCTAGGTGAATACTCAGAAATGCATTACCGTTCCCTTCCTCCAGGGGGCGCCCTGGGACTGTGCAACTGGCCCAAGGCCACCCAGGCTGGCTCTGCTCCCAGGAGGCACCGGTGAGGAATCAAACTCCCAACTTGTGGCTTCACAGCCAGATACGGAGATAGCTGGGCTAATATTTTTAGTGACATTTCTACTCTGCCTTCCTGGTCAGTTTATGACAGTAAACACATTGTATATACAGCTCTCTTCCACCCTCAGCCCCATTTTTATCCTCCTTAGGTAAAGGTTCCCCTTGACATTTAGACCAGTTGTGTCCGACTCTAGGGGGCGGTGCTCATCCCTGTCTCCAAACCAGAGCCAGCGTTTGTCCGTAGATAGTTTCCGTGATCACGTGGCCAGCGCGACTAAACACGGAACGCCATTACCTTCCCACCAAGGTGGTCCCTATTTATCTACTTGCATTTGCATGCTTTCAAACTGCTAGGTTGGCGGGAGCTGGGACAAGCGACAGGAGCTCCCTCTCATCGCTTATCCTCCTTACAGCACTGCAAAATAAGTCAGTCTCAGGGAGAGTAACTGGCCCGTAGTCACCCAGCACGTTCCATAGCTTAGTGGGGACCAGACAGATATCCCAAATCCAGTCCAACCAACTTACACTGCACCGCAGTGGTGTAATGAGGAGGAAGGGGAGAGTGATTATTATGGCTGTCCCCCCCCCCCCCCGTCAACTTGGATTAATTCGAGGTTGCCCATGCTGGCAACCTGGAATCAATCC